AAAGCGTTTCATGTATTAAAAACACATAAGCATGCTGTTCTTACACTTCACCAGGTTACACCACAGGTTATTTTAAAATGTTGGCGCAATATATAGGCCTATTCAGTATTTTAATAGGCACACAATTACAAAATTTTGAGTCATAAAAATGAACATTATATGGTTATAACTTAAAAACAGTTCAGTACAGTTTAATAATCCGTATGTTATCTGGTTCCATGATTTTTGGCCACGCCTCCTCCAAAAACGTCACACCTCAAACATGGCCGCTTACTTGAACCGGTTACATCACATTTCGCTCCAAGTTTCTAACGCGGAGAAAACAGCAAAGGACCTTGTCTCTAAATTCAAGTTTAATTTGTTTGCTGCGAGACTAACTGACAACTCCAGGCAGCTGGCATTAAGAAAAGGAGCAGCCATTTTCGTCGTAAATGAAAGACAAAACCAGAGCAGTGTCAGATTGAATGGAGAGATACAAGGCATCACACACAAAATTTCACCCGATCCAAGACGGGTCACCGTGAGGAAGTACAACCAGGATGATTCAACCAAATGCCTTTACGATGTCAGCCCACATTACTCGGTGGATACTGTGAACAACGTGTGTTTCGAGGTGGACGATGTGGAAAGGTCATTCAGGGCTCTTCGTCATATGGGCTGCAATTTCCTGGTGCCTCCCACCACAGTTCAGGACGAGGGTGGTCTTGTCACCTACTCCGTGTTAAAATCTATTGTGGGTAATGTGTGCCACACACTAATTGACAGGACACAATATGAGGGAAACTTCTTGCCTGGGTTTAATGTCATTGAAAAGAACTGCAGCCTGGAAGAAGAGGACATGTCTTGTCCAATCACACATTTTGATCACATAACTTATGCCTGTCCCAGGAAATCAACCCACCAGATCATGAGGTGGTATGAGAAGCTCTTAGGTTTTCAGAGGTTTTACATTGATAGGTGAGAAACCAAAACTATTAAATATTCTCTATGATGTTCCACTTGATGTCAGTAATCGTGATGTTTTGTTCTTCTGACTAGTGATGAAGATGTGGATGATGGTTTTGTAGTAAACCAGGAGGGTATTGGACTTCGTCTGACAGCTATGGAGTACTGGAAATGCAGCAAAGCAGGCATCATACTTCCCCATGTCAACAAAAAAGAGCCTGACTGCAAGTTTGTCATTGCAGAATCACTGCCAGAACAAGGCAAGTATTTATTTCTTTAGTAATTTATGGTGATATAACTTCGACATCATTGTGTGCTTTCACTTCTTTCAGGCAGAAATCAAGTTGACACCTTCTTGGAACAGCACAAGGCCCCAGGAATCCAGCACATTGGGTTGTACACAAAGAACATAGTCTCTACTGCACATACAATGGGTGAAGCTGGTGTGCAGTTTTTCTCTCCTCCTCTTGCCTACTACACTGAGGTTTGACAGAACCGCACAGCACTTTGTCATAACAAATAAACAGTAGATTTTGTGGCTGATTATTACACAAGACAATGGCAAATAATACTTGCAAATGTGTTATTCTCTGCTGTTACCTATCCTGTGTGCTGTGACAGGTGGGAAAACAGCAGGAAATAGAAGAGGCAGGACACAGCCCCCAGATGCTGGCGCAGCATGGCATTCTCTTGGACACAGACCTGCACCATGATCCGTTATCACAGACAGCATCCAGCGAAAACAGAAGGTGAGAAGCATCAGAGCTGTAGTCTTATAAGTTAGGCTCTCTTCCACACAAATACTAATAGAGGTTTTGTTTGTGTGTCTCTCTAAAGAGATAACATTTTCAGTCAGTTTTCTGTCAATTTACTACTTTTCTGCATAGTAATGCTTTTTTTATATATTTGCTTTGTTATTGCAACAACTTAATCTGTAAGTGTTAGTTATCATAGCACTGTCAAAGCCTCATGGTAGCTGTAGTTGTTGAATGCTGAAAAAACAGGGTGGCCGCGGGTCCTTAAAAAGTCTTAAATAAAGATCTCCCTATAAAAGGCCTTAAAAAGTATTAAAAAGCCTTAAATTCTGATTCAAGAGGTCTTAAATATTTTTTGTGACATTACCGCCAAAAAAAAAACTTAAGTCGGAGATCCAAC